CCCCACAGTCACATCAGTCTCTGTACAGAGGAGCTTACACTCTAATGTCCCCTCCCCCCACAGTCACATCAGTCTCTGTACAGAGTAGCTTACACTCTAATGTCCTCCCCTCAGTTACATCAGTCTCTGTACAGAGGAGCTTACACTCGTGTCCCCACCCACAGTCACATTGCCCGCTGGACGCAGGGCTTCGTGACGCGCTGGACATGTGCACCGGGAAAACAATTGTTTCATTTCAGCTTGTTTTTATTCGGATTTTGTTTTTAGGGATTTGGACGAAATTCGTTAGCGGTAGTCGGTACGAATGTTCATTTCCGTTGCATGTTCGTATCGTTCGTTTTATTGCAGCAAAGTGACATAAAAAACATTTTTTGGTCACTTTGCTGCAATGAAAATTCGTCCACAAACGAAAATGTGTACAGACTACCGCTAACTAATTCCGTCCGGAAAACGAATTTTTCCGAAACGAATCGCACATGTCTACTGGACGCAGGGCTTAGGGTTAGTTCACACCATAAGCAGTGCACTCCGGTTCCATTGAAGTGAATGGAACCGTAGCCATGCCCTCCGGCTGCAATGCGATCGCCCGCACGGGATCGCAAGGTACATTGTGTCTGCAGTGCATTCAGGTGCGGTGCGATCAAAATAGTGCTTGCAGCATTTTAATCGCACCGCACCAGAACGCACTGCAGACACAATGTGCCTTGCGATCCTGTGCGGGCGATCGCATTGTGGCCTCCAGCCCGGCAAAAAAGTGAGCTGGCCGCAATGCGATGCAGTGCGTTCCGGCCGGAACGCACTGCAAGTGGTGTGAACAGGCCTTAAAACGGTACAAGGAGCAGCCATATTCTTGGTATAACCACTTCCAGCGGAGCACGTACATTTACATGAACCTGCGGGAAGTGGTTAAAAAAAAACGCACACATACACGTAATGAACACACACATATCACACACTCATTAAAAACACACACAAATAGCTTTATTAATAATAATAAAAAAATCACACACACATTAAAAAAACAAACACACATACACACACAATCCCTTGTAATCCTAAAGTGACACTGAACTCAGAAGTTAAATCTTAAAAATGCATTAAAGTCCCTTTTTAATTATTAATAAAATGTATTATTTGTGTATCGTCAAAAGCAGCCCCCCTCCAGATGGAAGGACAGTGTCGGCACCAATTGGAGTTTTCTAATCGAAAAATGAAAACACATTTATGCTGACTCGGCCAAAATCTGATCTGTGGGTGGCCCTGCTGGCACTACTTTTGTAGGATCTGGGTGGAAAATGTTCTGGCCAACAGTGAGCTGCAGTCACAGTTTGGGTATTCTTACTGTAGCAGGTGCTGACTTTCATAATACAATTGCCAGCAGGAGAGATTCATGAATGGAGAAATCTGTTAGATTTAGAACTAGAGATCTGTTAAGCTGTGGGCTGAAGGAAATAAATCTATAAGTGTATGGCCAACTTTAAAATATAATGTAAGAGTAAAAGTTTGTGGGCACCTGATATTAACACATGACCTTGTTGACATCCCATTCCAAATTATGGTCATTAATATAAACAGGCTCCAGGGAAGATTTCAGGAAAGATTTCCACAAGATTTTGGAGTGTGTTTGTGGGACTTTGTTCCCATTCAGCATTTGTGAGGTTAGGTACTGATGTCAGACAAGAAGACGTGGCTCACAATTAACGTTCCAATACATCCCAACTGTGGATCTTGGGGTTGAGGTCAGGGCTCTGCGCAGGCTACTTGAGTTTCTCCACGTCAAACTCAACAAACCATGTTTTAGTTTTTTTGCACAGGAGCACAGTCATTCAAGGTTGGAAGTGCACAATTGTGTATAGTGTCTCTGAATACTACAAAATTAACATTCCACTTCACTGGAAACACCCAAACTTAATTTGGTGGGATGTCCACATACTTTTGGCCCTTTAACATAGGTGTAAAGGTCAGGTGTCCACCAACGTTTGGCCTTATATTTCATGTCTAGGCAATTGGAGGATTCTGGTAAAAATAATAGTTATCAATGTACATAATAAAAATGGGAAGCAAACAAAAATCTGTGTCATGTTATGGTATTTATGATCTGTGCGCCGGCTGCTAAATTCTGTATACTGAGATTTTAGCTTCTCGACAACTTGAGGGTGGATCTTATCTGCTCTCATTTATGCTTATCTGTATCATTGATTCCAGATTGTATATTGTTCTGACACCTTTTACTTCCTATTCTTTTTTTTTTTTCTCCAGGCGAGCAAAACTCCGACTATATTTGGAGCAGCTGAAGCAGCTTGTGCCCCTTGGGCCAGAGAGCAACAGACATACCACTCTAAGCCTCTTGAAAAGAGCAAAAATGCACATTAAGGTGGGTTCATATGGTGTGTTCCCATTGTACAGCCATGCATGGTATCAGGTTTTCAAATGACTCATCTTTGACAAATATGCTTCAAATCCCAGTATTCCACTGTAAACTACAGAGCACCTCTCTCTATGTTATAGATATGAGGGGTGTGTTGTAGTTCGAGCTTTCTTCCTGTCCTAGGGAGGCCTTGCTGCTCCCCATAGATTTAGTACAATAAGCGAGCATTGTCACTGTATGACAAGAAGAGTGTCATTGGGAGGCTCATAAGGTGAAAAAAAAGGAAAGATAGCATCCAACAAAGAAAATCTGAGCAGCCACCACATCTAAGGACTGGTAGGCTGCTGTCCCCATGCTGCTTACATTCATTAAATTACCACTGACCTGGTCCTCTGATGGGCACCCTACATCCCCACTACGTTCTGCCTAATGCTGCAGCAGATGCATTGACTGGCTGTGTAGCTTAACTGTTGCCTTAGACAGTAAGTAGCTGGGATTTGGGAGACCAACTGGAACTTGTCGGGGACCACTCTGGTCATAGGTAATTAAATGGACATTATTTATAGCACTAAGTGAATGTAGGCAGCATGGAAGCCCAGCAGATCTAAAGACTTTAAAAGGCGCTTTTATTGAGAGATATAAGTGAGCAACCATTGCTGACTCTGAGTCACCCCTAACAAATATGTCAATGAAGTCATTGTGATTGTAGATTCATATCATTTTGGGTCAATGACTCAAAGTATTGGAAGCAGAGGATCAGCTCTTTTTCTGATTACATTAACCTGTTGGAAGTACATTGATATGCAAACACATTTCTACAATTTCCTCTTTAGAAATTAGAAGAACAGGACCGAAAAGCTCTGAACATCAAGGAGCAGCTCCAGAGAGAACATCGCTACCTCAAGCGCCGTCTAGAGCAGCTCTCTCTGCATGGGATGGAGCGCATGCGCACAGATAGTATGGGCTCCATCATATCCACCGACTCTGAACAAGGTGAGCTGGACTCTCTAGACCAGCGGTTCTCAACCTGTGTAACCTCAGGACCCACATTTGTTCTGATCATTAAGTTGCGGCCCAAGTCGCACTGCAATGGAACGCACGGCATTAAGGTACCACGCGTTCCGGTGCAGGCGTACGTACTGTGGGTGGGAGGTGCGTTTAGGGCACCATTCAAATGAATGGCAACGCAACACACCTCCCACACGAGAATGCATGGTTGGGGCAATTGCGTGATACAGTTTAACCCACTGTACTAGTGTGAATGGGCCCTCAAAAACACTGACATACAGACACAATCTCACACACTCAAAGACATTCTCACATACACACTCCAAAATGTTTTACATTTTTTGTAAGGTCCACCTAGTCTCCCTACCTAGAGTCCAATCTCCTAGAACTGGAGTGGATCCTTAGCCTGGGGTCCAGTTTGGGCTGCTGTGCCGTGACGGAGCCAGAATGTGACGTCACTCCGGTCCCAGCACCTCTACAGGACACGGGAGGGAACTGTAAGCAATGCACGTATGGATGGAGCTCCCTCGCAGCCATGGCCCCAGCCCACCCCGCCTGAAGCTGACACTCGGCTCCGGGCAGCACATTTTCAATGGCCGCTTGGCGTGAGAACTGACAGTGCTGCACTAGGGGGAGGCTGAGAAGCCTCTCATGTAGAAAGGTGGAAGGCATGCGGCGACCCGCTGAACATGAGGTCGTGACCCACTTTTGGGTCACGACCCACCAGTTGAAAACCAAGGCTCTATGGGAGCCCCTTACTAGTTCTTTATATAGAGATCAGGGGTAAGCTTAGTGTTCAGTTCTTTGATGCTTGTTAGAACACACATGGTGGTATCCATTCACATCTGTGTGGAACAAAGTTGGCACTGATCAACATCTGAAGTGAGCTAAAATTCCTCAGCTTGTGGGAGGCGTTCGCAATTCTGTCCTGCTAACATGAATAGGTTAAATCATGATCCATAGTACATATACAGCACATACGTCCAGTACACTGCAGTAATAGAGTTACAATTATCCCCTGCTAACATGAATAGGTTAAATCATGATCCATAGTACATAGTACAACTACATGTTATGTACTATTATGGATAATTTAACCCATTCATGTTAGCAGGGGATCTCAGCTTGTCAAAATGCCCTGTATCGCTATCGGGACATCCCTATTTACTACCAATGTGTACCAACCTTTGTCCTGTTTACTATTATCATTCAGATAATGCTGTCATTAGCTGCAGGGCTGTACAAGGAAGGGCGAACAATACAGGAATGTGAAATACAGTTGGGTGTCAGAGCATGAATAGAAAACCCAAGATAAAGTAGGCGTGAAAGTTCTGCCCTTTGAGCTAACAGTCTAAGGGGGGGGGGGTCTGAGGTATACATAAGGTGTCAGCATGCCCTATTAGGTAATGGAGGAGGAAGTAGTGGTGAATCTGTGATTGAAGGGTTTGAAGGATGTGTGTGAAGTGTTAGAGCAGAGGTAAACAACCTCAGCATGCCAGCTGTGGTTCAACTAAAAAAATACCATCATGCCTTTGCCTCCAGTAGTCATAATGTGGCTGTCAGAGTCTTGCAATGCATCATGATGTTTGTAGTTTCACCACAGCTGGGATGCCGGGTTGCCTACTCCTGTGTCAAAGAGGTTCCATAGTTCAAAGGAAAAAAGCACTTGAGAAGTCCTGAAAATGCACTGACAGGGCAAAGTGGTAACTGAAATGGAGGAGACCAAGCTGTGTACACAGGCTTCGGTTCGGTTTAGGATGTAATGTAAGGGTTAAGGCAGAGGAGCCAAGCTGGAGAGAACTTTTCAGGTTATACAGTAATTGAGAACTACATTCTCTGGGTGCTGGGACTGACCCGAGGATTAGTATTTAAGGAGCGAGACGATGGGTGGTGACCATAGAAGGCCACAGAAGAGGAGATATGTTGAAGGCACACATTAACATTTTTGATGCTCCATGTGTGAGGGGGGGTGCAAAGTATGTTCCCATCCGTTGTGCATGTGTTTATTCGTTCTTTTCTTTCTATCCCTCCCCTCCACAGAAGTAGACATCGAAGGCATGGAATTTACCCCAGGAGAAATGGACAGTATTGGAAGTACCAGTGACGTGGATGACCACTACAGTCTGCAAAGCAGCTCCAGCGACAGCGGCTATACACATTCCCTGAGACTTAATTCCAGTCTCTTATAGCGGCCAAATTACTGGACCAACTCAGGACCATGAAGCTGAAGGCACTTAGATCTGGAAAACAAAAAAAACGTTAAAAAAATTTAAAAGAAAACAAAAAAAAAAGTGAACTGCCACTCAGCCAGGACTGCCGACTCTAAACCTTTCAAGGAGCGTTCTTGCTGAGGAGGCCCCCTCCATTTCAACCACAGCACGAGAGATTCCCGACACGTGGCTCTGATGGAGGTCTGTGCTGTGACTCGGTGGGGTGGATGTTGACAAAGAGCGTTCAAAGCTCAATGAAAGCCCAATTTTTTGCAGTCATATCATTCCATTACTAAGTATTACACATGGAGACACAAAGAGAAGCAGGTCAGATATTTTTGGATTACCAGAGATCATTTAGTTTTAAGAATGAAGTCGAATTTGTACATGTCCGTCAAATTTCGTAGGTAGACATAGCAAAAAAAAAAAGAATTATGACTTCTTTGAAGAGCAGGCAATAGTTTTATCAGTGTCAGTATTTCAAGCACTTGGCGTTTGTGAAGCAAGAGATCGCAAAGTTCCTGTAACGTTTCGAGTTTCATGTCTGTACCGTATGGTGAAAATGAGAGGTTTTTAGTCACTTCTGCGTTTATTTTTCCTTCACCGTACGCCACAAAAGAAGATGTGGTTCATTTTGGTTCTGGTGAAGGAAGCCGACGTTTCATGTTTAAGAAGGTGGTCTGAGCATTGCTGCATTCAGATAATGTGGTGCTTTGAGAGGCAGAATAGTCCCTACTCATTGTTGTATGTGCATGAGGTAACAAAGGATGGGGGGCCCGGTCTTACTTCCATTCGTCACATGTCATTTCTTTGTGGCTCGGTGAAACAGGGCAGTGACAAAGGTCACATGTTCTTTCCTTCCAATCAATAAGAAGGGCAGCAAGGAAGGTTGCAACATGGTATTGAGGGCGGTGAGATGACAATCTTGTCTGTACACCTTACTGCATGAATAACCATGGTGCATCTCACCGTACGTCCATTGACATCCACAATAATGGGTAAAAAAAAATGAAAACTCAAGTCATCGGCAGCAATATTTTGGGCTACCCACCTGCAATGTTTGCACTGGCACCGATTTTGTGACTATTGGAACAAAAAAAAACCCTTAGGTGCCAACAGTCAATTCTGAGGCACCAAGGCTTCCTGGATCCTAAGACATGTGTAGCCCAGTTCCAAAGCTGTAAAAGTTGTTACTAAGAGGACATTTCCTTCCCAAATATAACAAGCTGGAGGTCATCACCTGTTACAAAGTTTCATTGTTTCACATTTATATAATACCAATTTTTTTCTATCATCTGGTGCAGCATTGAAGGGACGCCCCCACACTGGGTTGTGCCCTCTACTCATTGAACACCTTCTAGCGTGAACTCGGTCACATGACACAAATCCTTTCCTCTCTTTTGAATGGCGAATCAGGTGAAGAAGAGCTTGTTTTCTGTTTATTCTTTCAGCTATCACTGCATTTTACTGAAGGTATGGCTTGCAGCTGCAGCGTGTTTCCTCAGCACACGTTTCAATGTCTAGGATGAGTAAAAAAAAAAAAATTAGGAAAAAAAATCATGCTGTGAAACGGCACTGTTTATTTTGTATACTTTAAATATGTATCTATGAGAATTGTAGCAATACTATGAAGTCATAGTCTAGTTTTATTTGTGTAACACAGCCTCATTTCTCTCGTGAAGTCAGTCAGAGAAAGGCACGCTTGTCAGAGGAGAATCAAGCGACCAGATAAAGTGTACCTGTCGTTTAGGGACGCGATGAGGTAGCCATTTGTTTTGCAATATAATATAGCCTGTCATGTGACATCACTGGTTTTCAGCGCATTGATAGGTTTTTGTTTTGTTTTTTCTTTTTGGTTTGGTGAACTAAATGGCCTCCCAGTTCGACCTATGCAACAGGACGCTTTGTAGCTCAGAGCTAGCAGTATACTCTGCGCTCTGAGCGCAGAAGAATATTTCCATAGAGGAAAGTTGGAGGTTGTAATAATAAAATAAAAAAAAAAAGCTATTGACACTTTTCTGACAAGTGATTTTAGCAAGTGTAGTCTATATTTCCTGTAAAAGATTTTGTATTATATTTTCCTAAATGTTCTCATTATATCAGGGTTGGGGAGGGTTGGGGCGGGTAATGGACGAATCCAAACAAGAGTCTCAGGGACTCTCTTATTTTTTTTTAACATATTGTGCCTTGTTAATCAACCGTCGTTTTATTCTTTTGGCAATTTCTAAGATGATATTCAGTTAAAAGCCGATGACCTGGTTTTACGATGGGCCATGTCCTGTTATGTCCATTTGTAAAAAAGTTTATTTAAAATACCAGAAGAAGAATGAATTTACAGAGCAGGTCATTTAGGTATGGATCCAACTGAAATGAATGTGACAAGACAAATGGCCGTATGCTTATGGCTACTACTGTATACTAGCTCAACACAAGGATTTTGGTAAGACATACAAGTCTGACTTGGTAAAAAAATGGGCTAAAGGTCAAATTTGATTTTACCTGTTGCAACTCCCATCAGCTTCCTTGACTTCTTTTCAAACTAAAGCTGGCAAGTTTTTTTTTCTCGTTCGGCCCACGCTAACAGCTCGGACGGGGGAATCCCTCCCACTGGGCTATTGTATTCTGACAGTAAGCGGTGAGCCGCTGTCAAAAATACCAGAAGAATGAAGGCAGTCACTGTTTGGCCAAGAATTTTTGGACTGACTCCTTCAACAAAAGTCAGGGGTTCTTGGTCGAATTTTCTGAGAGCTGAAATGCGTCCAGCTCTTTAATTTTCTGACTGGACTGATATCCGCCCAGTGTATGGCCAGCTTTACAATTTTCTGACTGGGCTGAAATCTGACCAGTCTGTGGCCAGCTTTACAATTTTCTGACTGGGCTGAAATCCGACCAGTCTGTGGCCAGCTTTACAATTTTCTGACTGGACTGAAATCTGACCAGTCTGTGGCCCGCTTTAGACTGAAAACATGACCTAACCTGGCTGCTCGCTAAATTTTTTACCTTTAGCACATTTTTTAGACCAAGATAACAAAATGCAAAGTGCAGTGACCCACTACCGACCAATCAGATTTTAGTTAGTAGGGAGAACAAGGTGAAATCTCATTGGTTAGCACAGGTAACTGCACTTTGTACACACTGACTGCACTTTCCACTACTAAGGCCAAGAATGAAAATAGTAGTGACGTGAGAAAACTCATAGCGACCAACCAGAAATCAACGTTTACCAACGTAAAGTGGTATTGACTGATAAGGGGATTTCTGATTGGCTGTTACAGGTTACAGCACACCGTTGCTCTTTGCACTGCATTTATGTATAAGCCCATGTATGTTTTCCGAGAATTCATTTCAGATTATTCTGTGCTCTGCTTGGAATGGGACTTTGATAATATGATCCGTAGAGTTCCTCAATTTGTGTGTCCGATTCCATTAAAATTCCCTGGAAAACTGTAACACTAAGTTATTACTGAGCTGCAATTCTACTTCCTACACCAGAAGGTGCTCAAAGTTACTGTATAATGAAATGTAAGCAGTATTATTCACTGAACGAAAATGCTGCACAAAAACACAAAAAGTGCAGCTATTTGTGTCGACTGCCTGGATTTCCCCAGAAATCAGCCTGCTTACAAAAAGACAACGTTGCTATACCCATTCCCTGGGCACTTGGGCCTGCTGAACCTCATACTATGTAAGCAGCCATTTGTCACCAAGCACCTCTTCCTCTGCCAAATGATACTCGGCAATCGACCCGCATGCCTTATTGATATCCATAGTTCCTCATGAAGTGGCACAACGTAGAACCAGCCTCGACCCACAAAATGGCTGACTTTCCTAAAATGTGTGTACTACCTGACATTCTTCTTTAGTAGAACTCAACCTTTTTTTGGGGGGGGGGGATTTTTAAAGGGTCAAGCCGTGAAAATTGATATATCAGTTGAATTGGGTTGAGGTCACCTATTGGTATGCTATAAATCAAGTAATCTCCTCCTCTGGTGTCACTCTCTTGCCTCCAGAGTCGGTGATCTGTCTCTGTCGTGACTCTCTTGTTAGCAATTGAGATTCAGGAGCGTTTCGGACAGTGAAATCGGCCATTGCATTTTTGTCATTTGCCAAAACATTGTCTGTGGCAGTGTGAGAGGGTGTACCCTAGTGAGAGAAGTCTGATTAGTGATTCTCCTCCTGAAGTGTCTACCCACAACCGAAATATCAATATTCAGTGGAACTACCCTTCCTGATTTTTAGCTACTTAAAAAGTAATTGCTTCAAATGATAGGGAAGAAAACATGTGGTAGTTGGTTGGACATCCATACTAGACTAAGGTGTAAATAGAACAGATAATACCATGTATTGTGCCATGTCCGTCGGTGACCAGATCCCAGTCTTTGCTGGTAAAACTGACTCCAGTTCTTGTCCACCATTGACATCTACTCTCCATTTGGGATACTAATTATTACATAGAATATATAAATACATTTTGTGGCAGCTTAACATCATTGTTTGCACTTACTTGGCTTGGGTCTTACCAACAAGGACATATATATTATATACGTGTGTGTTTTTTTAATTTCAGTCACATTCAGGTTCACTCCTTCATTACTGAATGTTGGAGGGCTGCGCAGTCACTGCATTTGGCAGCTGAATATTCTCATTAGTGGCTGCGCTGGAAGGACATGTTAGCCTACTAGGGTTAAGTTATCTTATTAGAAAATACCTCGTGACTGAGGGACTTAGCAGAACTGAAACTTTGACAGCAGAAATCACCAGCTCCTGTTACATTGCAGTGTGTGCATGTCACTCATGAGGCGGCCATTTTGTGAGCTCAAATGATATACAGATAAGGGAAAGATCAATTAAATTTGCAGGCCTTCCTGTGTCAGCTTATTGGTAGACTCCGTTTATAAGGGGGATTTAAAGGGGTCATTGTTTTAGCCTTTAGCCTTCTGTAGTAAAATGTTTGGTTGCAAACAGGGCATAGCCAAGGGGGAGACAGAAGAGACGGCAGTGGCATCACAAGGGGGGCGCGGCCCGCACCCGGGTGACACCATTGGAGGGATGACACCAAAATGACTTACAGTCATTTTGGTGTCACCCCCTCTAAAATGTCGGGCACTCGGTCATGGACAGTGTCAGGAGAGAGGAGGGGACCCGGCGGCATACCTCATTCTGCCGGGCGAACGCCTCCTCCTCTCTCTGCCGGCGTATATCACCAAGATGGCCGCCGGCAGGCGTCAATTAGATGGCTGCGCATGCACGAAGACGTCATCGCACACGGGCGTGGTGACGTCACGTGCATGTGTGATGACGTCACGGCGGGGGGTCACCCGGCCTGCGCTCCGGGTTAAACCCGACCTCGGGACGCCCCTGAGAGAAAGCAACCTTGAGTGCTTCGGCAGGAGGGGGTTCAAAAAAGGCAGACCCTGCAACCTATTCTACATGTCTAGTCCACAGCTCACGGCCTTTTCACCTTGAGTGCTGAAGGACATTGTCTGAACACTGGTTGCCACACTCATACACTGTCTTGTTTTGTCTCTAAATGGAAGCGCCATGCGAATGGCATTTGTCTAGCTATATGCTGGGCAGAAGATTTATAAATCAGCCCCTAAGTCTTTACTATTGTGTTACATCGATTGCTTTCTAGGTGGATATGGGGGCTGCCATATTTCTATTAGT